AAAGGCGGCTCTAAGGTCTCCCCGGCGCCTTCTCTTCCCCAGCTGAACCCCCCAACTCTCTCAGCCTTTCCCCCCAGCAGAGCTGCTCCAGCCCTCGGACCATTCCCGTGTCCCTCCTCCGGCCCCGCTCCAACAGCTCCGTGTCTGTCCTGTGCTGGGGACCCCAGAGCTGGACGCGGGGCTCCGGGGGGTCTCACCAGAGGGGAGCAGAGGGGGACAATCCCCTCCCTCGACCTGCTGGCCACGCTGCTTGGGACACAGCCCAGCTTACAGTTGGCTGTCTGGGCTGCGAGGGCACATTTGCTGGGTCATGTCCCATGTTTTACCCACCAGTACCCCCAAGTCCTTCTCCTTGGGGCTGCTCTCCATCCACTCCTCCCCCAGCCTGTGCTGATACCGGGGATTGCCCCGACCCCTGGGCAGGACCTTGCACTTGACCTTGTTAAACTCCATGAGGTTCACATGGGTCCAGTTCTCGAGCTTGTCCAGGTCCCTCTGGATGGCATCCCACCCCTCAGGCGTGTCAACCGCAACAGGCAGTTGGTGTCACCAAATGCCATCCACCCATTCATCACGGGAAGGGAAGGAGCAGCAGTGGCTCCCACGTTGCTGCAGCGTCCCTGGGCTGTTCTGCCTCAGGGATTTCTGCTTTTCTCATCCAGAGAAACGGAGCTGCCGAGCCGCCCCGGCACGTTGGTTTGCTGCTGGCAAGCGTGCTAGGATTACTGCTCCGGTGAGTCAAGCCCAAGGTGGCTTGGTAAGCGTTTCAAAGCGACAGCGTTTCAATTAACAAAAGGTCTAACCTCGGAAAGAGAGAAAAATAACCTAATACCCTCGGTGGGAAAAGAAATCAGGGAATAATCTGCTCTGAGAACAGCTAGAACAGGAGGCTGGGCGCCTGAGCAGCCATGCCTTTAATTTCTTCTGCTAAATAGTCGTTTCACCTGGTGGAAAAAATTGATGCTCTGGTGGGATGGTCAGGAAAGAGGGATGATGCAAATGAAGATGGTTGTTTCTAACCTATTCCTCGTGCTTTGGGACATCAGTGTGCAAAGGATGCACCATCCATCCCCAAACATCTAAGTATCGGCTGGGAAAAGCTGTTGAGCTTGCTCTCATAGCTCTACGAATAAAACACCGGTGTTCCCAGGATGAAGAACCATTTCCAGCAAATTTGGCCCACGCCCAAGTCCTCCCCTTTCCCCAGCCACCACCTCGTGGTCCCTGCCAGAGGGTCAAGCCCTGTGCAGAGCAGAGAGGCAGAGGATTGGGTACAAGGAGAGAGGTTGGCTTGCTCCCAGAAAAAGCGAAAATGAAATTATCCTAACGATAAACGTAAAATCCCAACAGAGCAAGCTGCTCTTCCCACACCACAGGCAGCTGCCCGGTATACCTGTCGTTCTGGTACACGTCCACGCTGCTGTTCAGCTCCTCCAGCTCCTCCTTCAGCAGCTGCAGGTTGGAGTTCACGTAGCTCAGCTCCAGGGCAACCGTCTCTTTGACCTTATGGTTACTGGTGGCCCTGCAAGACAACACCGAGTGGATCAAACCTCCCCCATTTCGTCAATGACTATTTATCAGTGCTGGGTTGCATTAATAAATAGAGATTAAGTTATCCAGCGATGCAATACCATGTGCATCCATCCAAACCTTCCCGCAGAAGCATGCCTCTTGCTGTGCACGTGATCATCCAAGGGTTTGGGGTGGGAGAGACCTTTGGTGATCATCCAGTCCAACCCCCTGCCATGGGCAGGGACATCTTCAACCAGACCAGGTTGCTCAGAGCCCCGTCCGACCTGGCCTTGAATGTTTCCAGGGATGGGGCATCGACCACCTCTCTGGGCAACCTGGTCCAGTGTCTCATCACCTTCATCATAAAAAATTTCTTCCTTAGATCCAGTCTGAATCTGCTCTCTTTTAATTTAAAACCATTATGCCTTGTCCTGTCTCTGCAGGCTCTGGTAATACGTCTGTCCCCATCTTTCTTATAAGTCCCCTCTAAGTATTGAAAGGCCGCTCTAAGGTCTCCCTGGAGCCTTCTCTTCTCCAGGCTGAACCCCCCCCCGACTCTTTCTGCCTTTGGCGACCAGGGAAGCCAGCGCATCCAGCATGTCGTGGAGGTTGAGGCCAGGCAAAGCTCATTACAGTGTTGCACCCTGCTCAGATGAACCTGCTATTTGTGCCCCAGAGCAACCCTCCCCTTGCCCATCCACGCTCCCACCTCCAGTGCTGATCTAGATCTGGCTGTGAGCACTCAAGGTGCTCACCCACACCAAATAAAAGCGCTTAATGGTTGGGTTAGAGGCAGAAAAACTTATTTTCGGGTGCGAATGACCCTTCCGCAAGAGAAGAGGCTTGCTGGGCTTGCCCGTTAGTAGAGCTGGACCCTGTCCTCCCTTCCCCACTTTTGCACGTCGGTGGATGTAAACACCGAGGATTGATTTCAGCTGCCTGCTCCCAGAAAGACAAGCTCCCAGGCTGATATTAACCTTCTTATCTGCTCCGAAGGAAAGCAGGGAGAGATAACCCAGAGCTGACAGTGCGCAGTCATCGGATGAAAGGGGTCTGGCTGCTCGTGCTAAATCACGCCAGGCTCCAGGAAAAACAACACGTGCACGAGCTCTGCTCAGCCCGAGCACCTCTTTCACCCCCGTTTTGCAGAGTATGTTGTCTTTGATTTTTTTTTTTTTTTTTTTTTTTTTTTTTGTGGATAGCGTTCTTCAGGGGCCTTGCCCTGACCTGGCTCAAGGCAGTAGAAGGAGCTACGCTGTTTTTCTTTTAAGATGCTAGTCCTTTAGCATCTCCTCCCCTGACTCCCCTCTGCTGGGATTTCCCAAGACCAATGCATTTTTTTATTCTGAAAAAAAAACAAAGCAGGATCACAGCAGATCCAAAGATCTCTGGGGACGCTTCTGTTTAAACATCCTTCAGCATTTCTGCAGTTCCCCATACAGTACCAGCACAGTAATGACCCTCTTTCCATATAAACCATTATTTAGTCACTATTTTAGTCCTCCATCCACCACAACACCTTCAGGACACTTTTCTTCCAATATGAATTAAGGAGAGTTTCCCCTTCTTGATCCCAGCTGGCAACAGTACGTGTTTTGTTTTGTTTTGTTTTTTTTTAATTTCTTTCATTACCAATAGCTGATTTGCAACCCAGCAACACCAAGGTGAACATTTGCACATAGACAGGAGATATTTCCGAGCCGTGTTTTCACCCCTGCTCAGCAGCAGAAATATCACCCTCCGAAGCCTGCCTGCGCCCTGCAGGATTTTTCACACACGTGCAAAGTTTCTCCAGGACTCGTCACCAGGTTTTAAAGCCCGGTGTGGCTTTGGGGCACTTGAACCTGCACTCTGCAAGCGCCACGTGCAGCAGCGAAGAGCACAGCACCTCTCGGAGAGGAAATTTAGGGGAGCGCTCGGTCATTTCTGTGAGCAAACCATCACCGAGGCACTTTGTGCTCCTTGTCCAGGGCAAGCACTGATCTCCGTATGAGCACACAGAGCCTACGTGTCTCCATCAGCCTCCGCGGTGAAGTTATCAGCTGTTTGCTTCGCTAACCTCAAACAGATTTCTGATTTTTTTTTTTTAATTTCTTTTTAAGAAACTGGTTTATTGGCGACACCTTTATCTCCCCGATTGCTTCGCCCAGTGCCAGTATTTGAACAAGAATGGAAACTCTTTCCCCCTGCCTCTGCCTGTTTATTTATCCAGCAAACAAACCCTCTTAACACCACCAAGCAAACACCACGTACGTTTTTTCCAACACACCACTCACAGCAACCTCTCCAGGAAAGGAGACTGATACGCTGAACAGAACAGCTCAGGAGATTTTTTTTTTTTTTAAAGTATTGAGAGGCTTTTTTTTTTTTTTTTTCCTCCACAGAGGCAAAGAAACCAGCAAATCCAGCTGTAAACTCTGCTCCACACTGGGCAACCCACAACTTTATTCTGTTGGCGTTTGGCTCTGCCATAGAGAGATGCAAAGGAAGTTTCTCCGTGCAACTCGATTTTTAAGCAATAACCTTTAGACTTACGACATAATCCCCTCCCTCAGCCTTTAATTTCAGGCACAACTTTGATTTTCTTTCTTTCTCCCCCTAAGATTTCCCACATTTCATAAGCTCTAAGCACCGTAGCACCCAGAAACCCACATTATTACTCAGCTGACAAGTGGACTTGTGGGAGGGAGGAAAAGTGGCTGCTACCAAAGGACATTCAAAATGCTGATCCAGCG